AGCTTGCGCGAAGTCTGTGAATGCAGTCACAGTGTGGGCAAGATGAACGCTGATGCTGCGACTCAATACTCAGCGTCACGTCAAGCCACGATCCGTGAGTTGGTCGTGAGGTGATCATCGCTTGGCTGCAGAGGATGCCGCGAACAATGCGAAATTCCACCAAGTGGAGCGAAGCCTTGCGGTTCGAGAATAATTTGCTTTTCGCTTTTCGCGGGCGCGTGTTTCAGCCTTTCGGAGGCGCGCGCAAGGGATGGATGACACGACTCAGATGCGTGAATGTTCACGGCTCACGCAGTGAGCGGCTTGCATGGAGCAAAACACCGATTCAGTACCTCCGCAATCGATCTACGACGCGCTCATCACAAAAGCCGTGATTTATCGTGGATCGAAATAACAGACATTCGTGATTTTGTAGCAAGGATTGCAGAAGAGATCAGGTGCATCTATAAACACTTCGTTACGGTGACGTGGGAAGACGGCGAGCGTCGCGCGAGAAGCATCGAGGGGGAGATGGAGCGTGGCGGAAGCGAGTGGATCAATGAGCATCTCCAAGAGGCACAAATGCGAAGGGGAAGATGGCAGCAGTGTTGAAGATTCCGGCGATCCAGAACTTCTTGCCGAGAGTTCTTGTGGGCTTGGTGCCTGGGTGGAACTTGAAGATGAGAGTGTAGAAGATACCACCAATGGCACCAAAGGCACCGACTGCGCCTGCCACCGTACCGCTGTTCTTTGGTCGGATGTGAGGATAGACAGCGTAAGCTGCTCCATTAGCTGCGAAACCGGTGGTAGCAATGCCAACGACGAAGCCCAGCACGCCGCCAAGAGTTGGGGGTGCGCCTTGGTCGACGTAGAAGCCAAGTCCAATCATGAGTACACCTTGCATAATGTTCATGGCGATGAGGAACACCACCTTGGCGCGCACACCAAGGCCGCGAGGACGGAAGCGGTTGTAGAGAATGTCGCAAATGATGCCACCGAGAGGACGAGCGTACAAGTTGAGCAGGCCGTAAGTTGAGGCTGCGTAGGCGGCATCAGCAACGGTGAAGCGAGGACCAGCAAACAGCCCGTAGATCAGCTGAGGCAGAGCAGCATCCATAGCCGTCTCGAGACCAAAGGTGATGCAGTAGCTGAGTGCGACCATCCAAACCCGTAGGTCAAGGGCAATGTCCAGGGCAGCGCGAGCAGTGAGCGGCTCAGATTGAGCTGCGTCATCCTTGTCAAACTGCTCTCCCGTCTCGTGGAAGTCCGACGTCTTGGCGGG